CCGATGCGCCGAGTCTCTTCTCCAGGAGCTCCATCGACCTGATGGGCCGCGAGATGACACAGCACGCGGCACGGACGGCCATGGCTGAGGCGGGCGTCAAGCCGAGCGACTTCGCCGTGTGCGAGCTGCACGACTGCTTCAGTGCCAACGAGATGATCCTCATCGACGCCCTCGGGCTGTCGGAGCCCGGCAAGGCGCACGAGCTGGTGCGGGCGGGCGGAATCACCTACGGGGGGAAGGTTGTCATCAATCCCAGCGGCGGACTCATCTCCAAGGGTCACCCGCTGGGCGCCACGGGCATCGCGCAGTGTGCAGAGCTGGTGTGGCACCTCCGAGGCTGGGCCAACAACCGCAACGTCCCGCACACCAAGTGGGCGTTGCAGCACAATCTTGGTCTGGGCGGCGCCGCCGTCGTGACCGTCTACCGGAGGGCGGACGGCAACGAGGCTCCGGTGGTGGACTCGGCGACGGTCGGCAAGGTCAACAAGTTGGGGTACAACCCGGCGGTCGAGGCCAAGGGATTCACGGCACAGCAGGCCAAGGCGGTGCAGAGCAAGGCCAAGTCGAATGATTGGGCGCTGCAGGAGACATTAACCAAGGTGGAGGCGCGTTTCTAGATGATTGCCAGGCGCGGAATATTAATCAGTTTAATTGGTCTGGAGGGTCCTGTACAAACAGTTCGTCGGTACTGTAGAAGTTCGATCGGTGTTCGCTTATCGTCAGAAACCACATCGCCGGCAGACAGAATGGAGCCTTTGGTCCCGAGACTTTGCCTGACTGACGATCATGCGGCCGGGAATAGTTGCAACGAGCAGAACAATTTTGTGGCTCGTTTCCCGGACTGCTGGTCCCGCCAGTTTCTTTTTTTTATGTCCGAGAAGAGGATTGAAACAGACGGAGTTGAGAACAACGAAAGAATCGACGAGTTCCATGCTCGGAGGGAAATTGGTTCCCCGGCTTGGCAGAGGGCCACGTCCGCCGCGGGTCCCTTGCAGATGCGGGGGACCGTGCCCGGGGTCTCAGATTGTTCTGTGCAGCTTCGACGACGGCCGATCACACGTTTCTCACGTCGACTCGACTCAAATTCATGCATTGCCTGCTGGCCTATCGTTCCTCCGTTCTGTAATTCCAGCCTGACGGACAGCTGTGGGTGTGCTGTCAACCGGATTCATGGGGTTGATCTCGGGACGGAAGGCGCGGTCCTGCCTCATCTCTCTGCCACTTTCCCCCGAACAGCCTGTCTGCCCAATCGACTTCTGGCTCATCGTCTTCATCTTTCTGCTTCATTCCCGCGCGAGGCAGAAACAACGTGCACACCATCCAGACGATGGCGCAATTCATTTCTCGCATTAAGCTTCGAACCAACGGTCGACGATCCGCTTTTCTGAATGGGCTCGTTTCAAGACGCTGTCGACGAGGCCCAATGGGATGGTTCCCCGCCGTGTTTATTTTCCTTCAATCCCATCTTGCGCTCCAGCGTTTTGGGCAGCAAATTCATGCATGTCCCAAGTTGCCGCATTTACACGGACTCTCCGGCACTTCACCACCCCTTGTCGGGACCAACCCCAGTGGTTTGGACTTGCTGCTGCTCCCTCATCGGCCTCGTTGGGTTTCCTCTCTCGACCATATGCCATTGTATTTGATTTCCTGGCCGTGTTTTAGCCTGTTTCTATTCCTGCCCATTCTCTCCATGTTTTTAGTTCTAGACTGGTACATAGTCGAAGAATCAAGATTCCCGGCGAGAGGCCAAGAAAAGAATCCGACTAGAAACACAACAGTCCGGTCGTTTATTCATGCTTTTGGCCGCCGTTTAGTATCATACCTGGTCAACACGGTGGTTGTCCTTCCTTCACGCAGTGTGTTTTATATGACCCGGTCGAGGCTACGCATAGCAGATACCCCCACGTCCACCTACACGTAATCTGCAGGTCCAAGCCTACCCTCTCACCTATGGCCGTTCCAGAAAGGAACTGAGAACGGACCCGATCATTTTGCTGGGCGCGAATCAGTTTATCCCCCTCCTCTCCCCGGAACCATATTCATATCGCTCTGGTATGAACTGCTCCGTTGGGTTTCGGACCTCCTCTGATCGCCTCTTTTAGCCGCTGTCGCGCACACACACGCTCTCACCCATCCCCCCTCCATCTTAAAGACCGTGGAGGATCCAGACCCGTCCCTCCCCCTGGCCTGTCAACCATCCTTCTTGCTCCCTTTCTGCGTCGACCGGGAACGATGACGACGCACCGGGCCGCGACAAAACTCTAGCCTAGCGTCTAACCTGTCCCGCTTCTCGAATCAACATGGCTACCCCTCAAGCTGATCTCTCTGGAGGGCCGGTCCTTCTCTCGTTCTCCCTAGCCACGGGCAGCTTCGCCCTGGCCACCACCGTTGTCCGCTTCTGCGTCCGCGCGGGCATCAACAACCACATTGGAGCCGATGACTACGCGAGTGGGGTTGCCACGGTACGAACTGTTTGCGTCGGAGGAGGAGGAAACATCTGCTAACGGGGTGGACAGTTGGTGGCACTAATAGGCACGATATTCGGCATCGTCGAGAGCACGACGTCGGACCCGACGAGGGCGCTCGAGTTCGATGTGCTCGGTCAGCCGTGGTACCTCATGAGTGCTACGCTCTCTCGGATTTCCATCTGCCTGCTCTTTATTGGATTGCTTGGCCGCGGACGGCAATGGAGGATACTGCTGGGCATTCTGATCTTTCTGATGGCGGCCGTCAATTTTGGGTTTGCACTGGCCATGAACCTCCAATGCCGTCCGCTAGAGAAGCTGTGGCGGCCGAATGTTGCGGGGGAGTGTTGGGACTCGAGTGTCCAGCTCAACTTTGGGTATTTCCAAGGGGGTGAGTTTTTGTCTCCGAGGGTCCGAATGGATACTAATCATGATAGCCTTTTCTGTCTTTTCGTGGTCTTTCCTCGCCGCTTTTCCGGTTCTCATTGTCCGGGACCTGAAAATCGATGGAACAATGACCTGGCCCTTTTATGTCACATCCTCGCTCAGCTTCACGTGAGTATTTCAACGTAGGGTCCCATGAATGGGTAACTGACAAGATTGCAGATGTGCTATTTTCACGATCGTGAAGACAGCCGATGCGTCTCAAATCAACCGTGTCCCGTTTTACACCTCCCACTCGTTTTATGCCAGTCTCATGGCCAAGTACGTCTTCTCATTTTGCCTTCAGAACAATTGCTCATGTGATTTAGCCTCGAACAAAACATGGGGCTCATCGCCGCCAACGTCCTCACACTCGGCCCCCTCTTCTCTGCCTCAGCCCGCCACATGCTCACCTCGGGAAGTTCGCGCTCCGGGAAGGGACCGAGTCGTGCTGGTAGCACCCGGCCCATCACAAGGGCCAGCTCCCGCGCCTCGGCCCGGTCATCGAACCCGGACACCGAGGGTGACATTGATCTCGACCGGAAGCCGGGCGGACGCCGAACGAGCCTGATCATTGAGGGCCCACGCCGCGACAGCTTCGACGGGCAACGAAGCCGCAGCCAGAACAGCATGCGATCACGCAACAACTTCATCGACGACGGTACCGACGGTGGCCACGGGGACGAAGACGATTACGATATCGGGTCGAGGTCGTACCGCCACCACCACCGGCGAGGTGGATCGATCGACGAGGTCGACCTGGAAGCCTGGCCGCGCGGGATCATCAAGACGGTCAGCGTCGAAGTCGTCGAGGAGGTGAATGAGGATTATCACACGCAACATGCGAACCATCAGCGACAGGGGAGTAGAGGCGGGGTGGAAAGTAATACTAATGGGTCGCGGCTTGTGCCGATGGTGCGGGCGGCGTCGCGCGCGGGGGATAACTCGAACCGTGTGAGCGGGGCGAGCGGGCTCGAGCAGGACTGGGAGACTATGTTGAGGAATGGGCCGCCTGGGAAGTAATTTTTTTGTGTCTCATTTCATTTCCACGGAGTTGGTAAGACGTGTGTCGGTGTTGGGTGGGTGCATATATGCATCTGCATTTCTTTCGCTTTTTTTCATGTTGGGATTTTAGACGGTGGGGTTTATGTCCCCTTGAGGCGTTTATAAGAACGGTAACAGGATTTGAAAAGTTGAGAGGGATGGACGGACGGACGGCATGGGACTTGAAAAGAGTGGGCATCGTGTCTCGGTTTTTTTTATATTCGCTTTGCTTGCTGGCTGTGTGGCCAGGCTAGCACATCACTGTTTGCTCATCTGGGATGGCAAGGACGGGGAAGATGTAATAACTGGATACGAAAATGGGCGGCTGGACTGGACTGGATTGGGAACTTAGGCTGGACTTTGTGTTACAAGATACCCGTGTACGATTAGACCTCGCTGAATGGATGGATGGATGGGTGGGCTTTGGATGGAGGCTAACAAGACTATGAGAAAGGGTGTGGTGTAATCTTAGTATGGTAGTCATCATGGTGTGATTACATGGCATAAGACGGAGTTTGTTATTTCTGTCATTCTCTCTCTCTCTCTCTCTCTGAGTGAGCACAGTGATTTTCATCGGTTGCTTATGTAGTGGTTTAGCTGGTTGAAGGAGGAGAGTGAGGAAAGCAGGTTCCAAAAAATGATGGACACTACACAACACCGGGGGTCCGCCGGTCGTTACCGATCCTGCTACTGCATGGCCTGGCGGTCACTAGTTCTATCGAGGAGAGAGCGGACGGGATCCCGAGCTTTTTAGTGTTTGTGGTCGTATGTGCTTGCTGGAAGCGTGTTGTGCGTGTGTATAGATATGAAAGAGAGGTGTCCCGTGCCGTTGTTGATCGGGTCAGAGAGAAGATGTTGAGCCAAGATTTTGTCGAGTTTATTTTTCTCGGGGGTATACAGGAATTCTGAAACATCACTAGATTTAAGAGTTCTAAAATAGTTCAGATTAGTGAAAATCATCGCAAGCAAGGAAATCTGGTGATGGGGGTCGAGGGTCCTGGTGGAAACGCTGGAAATTATCCTGCAGTTATAGGTTAGGAATCCGAACATATTTATCAATCATCGCTAGGGCAATTGGTCTAGGGGTATGATTTTCGCTTCGCATTGTCTGCTCGATGCGCTTTGTGAAAGGTCACCGGTTCGAATCCGGTATTGTCCACATTTTTGCTTCTCCCCTGCTGGTCTTCCATGACTGAGATGCGGGCATCAGAATCGGGAATTCAGCCTTTTTTTCTTCGTTTTTTGTTGGGTCCTATGTATACCACTGGTGAGCTCTCGAAGCATACGGGTATACCGTAGGCATTGCATATGTTCAGTCTTGCACATCCACTGCCGCGATGTCAACTCGGCACGTGAGGTTGCAGCGTCTGCAAGTGCAGGGGTTCTCGGCACGGCGGGGAGCGCCTGGGAGCTGGGAGAAGCCGACAGGGGTGGCAGTTGCGGCACGGGTGGCGCTCAACGACATGCGTCGCCTGCAACGTGTTCACGATCGAAGAACACTCGTTAAACCGGTACTCTCTCGATAGAGCCCTGTTCTGTTGGGATGGTTTACGCGGCCACAAAATACAATGTCATGATGAATCGGATACTTTGGTTTCTTACGGGGACGGCGGTTTGTCTTGGTCTGGCCGACGCCAAAATCGTGCCAGGAAAGGGCTTCGATAGATTCATTACCATCTGGCTCGAGAACCAGGTACGCTCCACTGCCCATTCCCACCGCGCCCGTCTTGGACCAGGGAAGCTGACTTTTTTGGGTGTTCCAGGACTACGCCAAGGTCGTGGTCGACGAGAGCATCAAGGACCTGAAGAAGCAGGGCATCCTGCTCACGCGATACTATGCCCACACGCACCCCAGCCAGCCCAACTATGTCGCCTCGATAGGCGGCGACTACTTTGGCATGAATCATGACGAGATGGCGAGGATACCGACCAACGTGTCCACGGTTGTCGATCTGCTCGAGTCGAGGGAGATATCATGGGCTGGATATTTTGAGAATCTGCCCGGGCCGGGTTTCATGGGCAACTATAGCGACGGTCCCACAGGAGGGGGCACTTGGGACTACGTGAGGAAACACAAGTATGACTTGAGTTAAGGGGCATACCATTGGCAGATGCGCTAACCGCACCTCTAGCCCGTTTGTCACCTATGACAGCGTCACAAGCGACGGCGAGCGCCTCCTGTGCCTGTTATCGTTTGATGATTTCCAGCGCGCTTTCCGGGCCAAACAAGTGCCGCAGTTCGTCTTCATGACGCCCAACATGATGAACGACGGGCACAACACAACGCTCAAGGTGGCAGCAGACTGGTCGCACAAGTTCCTGCAGCCGCTGCTGGCTGAAAAGGCATTTGACGAGAAGACACTCATCATGCTCACCTATGATGAGTCGGAAACGTACGAAGAGCCAAACCATATTGTTACGCTTCTCCTGGGGAGTGCCATCCCTGAAAAGCTAAGGGGGACCGAGGACAATACCTTTTATACGCATTACAGTATGCTGTCGACGTTGGAGTACAACTGGGGTTTGCCTCATCTCGGTAGGTACGACGTCGGAGCCAACGTCTTCCAGTATGTGGCAGACATGGGCGGGTACAAGAAGAACAAAGACCCCGCCAACCTCGGGACCATCAACAACTCCGTCTCGTACCCTGGATTCCTACACAACGACACCTCGCAGTTCATGCCCGTCCCGTCGCCTAACCTGAAGCTTGTCGGCGCGAGCGGGCTGGGCATACTGGACGTTGTCGCAAAGACCTGGCCGGCCACCAAGGATGCGACGACGCCGTACGACGGCAGCGGGAATGTGTACGACGCAGAGACGCTGCCAGTTTACAGCGCGCCGGCAGCCAACACGCTTTAGCACATAGATACCCACACATTGATTGCATCCTCGATACGTTTTTTTTTAGTTTCGTCCCAATGGGCTGTGTGAAAGCGGGTGGATGCCGTCCAAGTGCCAGCCGAACGCTCTTTTCCGCAGTTGCAGATGACAGATGACAGTACCTTCCATCGAGGGAAGCCGCGGTCGGTCGACCGATTGGGAGCAGCCTGCGCTCTAGAGCTTATCATGCCCCTCTTCCCTTCTGCTCTTTTCGTTTAGAGCGGACTTAGGTAAGGTAATGGTCGAGCTGAAGCTTCCTATCTTTCTCCAGTGTCACTGTGGTCGTTTGCAGTTACCTTTGACATCTCCTCGACATCGTCAGCCCGGCATTGCTTGGCGGATCGTCTTTGCCCTGGACGCTGATGCCCTTTTCTTGGAAAGTAGTCTGTCCAACTTTTACACCGAGCTACTTATGTACACACGCATGTCTGGCAGCTTGACAAGCAATCGCCATGCCAGTCATTTGTTGCTGCCGTATCCCTCGTTTCCCGAAGCCTCGATCTTTGCTGGCTAAGGATGCCATACGGTCCGCATCTACTCCTCGTGATCGACCTCCAGGGCCCCTGACACTAAATCCTGTCACACCGGCGTCCACCGAGTTTGCCTCCGTTCGGTATCCATCGCCCTCTTCGGTGAACTCGTCCATCCCAACCGGCATTGCGCCCATGGATGCCGTTGAACTTGGTCAGTTGGTGGTGGAGGACTCGGATACGGACGATGACATCGAGAACCGAACGCCGCGCAGCAAGAGCCCTGGCACTCTCCAGCTCGTTCGAGCTCGCGTCCGTCGCCACCTCTCTCAGGACTCGTTGCCTCGGCGGAAGTCTCGCTCGGCTGTGGGAAGTAGTCGGACGGAGATTGAGCGGCGTGCCGAGCTCAAACGGCTTATGCACAAGAGGATCCAGGAGGAACTTCGCAGCGAGGAGAGTCCAGATACAACAGGGAGCGATATCACGTCGAGTATCCCACAGCCTATTCAGTCCATGGACCTTCTTCCCGGTGGCGGACCGCGGGATAACATTGAATTTCAAGTCGCCGAAGACACCAAGCGCGAGCCGCAATGCATGTGCCATGTGCAGCCAGGCGATGCACCGTTTCCTCTAGCTCTGGACCGGATTTCTAAAAGCGACAGAGCCAGCTCACCGGAGCCACGGAGAGTTAGCTGTCCCGATCCGATTCCCAAGCCTGCTTCTCAGAGCATCGTTCGAGAGCGATCCTCTCTTCCACATCTGCCCCCGTCACCAGAGATCCTCCCGCGAGGCTCTCGGAGCACGCACGAGACATCTTCCATAGGTTCTTGGAGGCTTTTCTTCAGCTCTGGTCAGCTTGATGAACTTCTAGGCTATACAGACCACGGGAGACACCCATCGGACGACCCCTCCACGCAACGGCTGCCACTTGGGCCTACTTCGGCCTTTCCAGTGTCTCCATCTCGAGAGACGCAATCTCAGTGCCACGCACACGCTGCCCCCGCCCGCCAGGCTACACCAGCAAATGAGCAGCTTGACCTGCCGGATCAGTCACCGCTGAGCACCTGGCTAAGGAGTCAGGGTCTCGCATCGAAGTCGCCGCCCATCCCCGGGCTCCGAGTGTCGTCGGAGGATGACCCGGATGGAACCATTGAGGAAGCGGAAGTAGTGTACCTCCGAAGGTGCAGCTCAGTGCAGAAGCGTCCTGTCCAACAAGCGGAACAGTCGCGTTCCGAGAGTGTCCATCTGTTTGATATGGATATTCCCCGACAGCTAGCTACGCACGCGTTCACACCGGAAGGCTCTGGCAACGGCAGCACACAGAATATATCGAACGGCGGACCAATCTCTGGCGATACACAAATCGAGAAGCAAGACGTCGGGGACGGTGCATTCGAGGGCAGCAGAAAAGATCAACTGAGCACGAGCGAGCCTCCCTCGAGCAGGGAAGTCACCGGGCCATCATCTGTATACCCATCTACGGCGAATAGCGCAGAGCCAAGTCCAGGGGCATCGTCTCACCAAGTCCCAGACTGGTCCATGAACCACGGGCGTCGACCTTCCTACACAACGTCGAGTTACAACTGTGAGCTGATGACATCCGCATCTACAGAGGTGTTGTACCTAATATGTTTCTAGGGATTGGGAATTCCGGGAATCCTTTTACAGCCACTCTTTCTGGGGGAAGCTCGAGGCCGACCGTGGAAGAAGCTCCACTCAACGAGCCTCGTCCAGATTCCTTCACACGAACAAGGCCTGACCAACCAGTTACAGATTCGACACCCTTTGGCCGAACCACGAGGGATCCGAGTTTTGACCAGGCGGAGAGAAGACTTGGGCGTTTTCGCTTGGGCAGCGGAGCGCCTGCCACATTTATCACCAAGTTTCAAAAGAGGGCCGACGACTCTGAGCCGCAGAAGAAACCATCGATGTTCGCTCGATTCCAGTCACCGCGTCCCGGACGACCTAGTCCCCCCTCCGAAAGTTTTGACGGCGCGAGTCAGAGCGATGAGGATGAAATAACGCCATCTCTGTCACCGAAATATGTCTTTGGTAGTAACATCGGCCAAGAACCCTCTGAGACGAACAAGGAGACCGTTCCTTCACCGTGTCGAGTTCCCACACCCGGAATTCTGAAAGACGAAGAGATCACCGCCGAACTTTGGAAGAAAGCATTCCGTGAAGATGCCAGACTGCGCAAGGAAAGCGTCACTAAGTATGACAGCCGCAACAGGCGGTCAAGTTACCCCAACCACCCGTGCAAGACACAGCCGGGTCAGGATTCAGTACTCGGACCCAACAAGAGTTCTCTTGCCGTATACCACACGAATTGCGCGAATAATTCAGAGGAGGTCAGTCCGGTATCGACAGCCAGTGGACGCTTCACACCATCTCCACTGACCATGTCACACCATGAGGATAAGGCCTCCACGGTCGTCGACCAGAGCCCTATTTTGCCCTTTGCGTACTCGTCGGGAGCCAGTCCTGGACCGCATGAAAGAGCATCACGGGGAACTCCAGTGTCATGGGCGAGCTTCCCATCATACAACAGGATGGAGCGCAATAACGCAGCGAGCGATGGCGGCCATCTTAGCAAAGCATCTCGAGAAGTAGCGGAGGAGGGTGCTCATCAGTCTCTTCACCATGTAGATCAGAACGCCCCTCAGCATGCGCATCGGGAGGCTCACCAACACGTGCATGAGAAGGTAAAGGCCACACACAGGTCGTCAAATGGAAAGTCAAAGTCTCTTCCGGGACGATTCCGCAAGGCATTCAAGCACGGGCTTAACAAGCTCATTCCGTCGAAGTT